GAGCACCTTCCACAGGGTCTGGTCATGCTGATACCCTTCCTCCAGCCCTCCCTTCATCAGATCTTGAGCACTCATGTGCTTGGATGTCCCAGGCTGGTCTGACCAGTAACTTGAACCACAGCCACTATGGGGGTTCCAGCCTTTCCCAAGTAGCGTGCCACTGCTACACCGTGAAGCTGACCTTTTTTTATTTAAGATTTTTTTTTTTTGGCCATAGTGCACATTTGCTCACCAGAGAGAGAGACAGAGACACGAGAGGGAAAGTGAGAAATCACCCCCACAGGGGGGGATGGCCATGCTGCAATCCTTTCTCCTCCACTGTCCTATCAGAACTTTGGACACTCACTCACATGTGCCCAGCATGATTTTCAAGCCACCAAGACTGGGACTCAAACCTCAGTCAGTCATGTGCAAGTCCGGAGCCTTAACTACTACACCATGTGTGGTTTTTAAAAAAAAAAAACCTTCAAATAGAGTAAAGAATGTTCTTGAATTAGGCCTTGATTCTGATTCCTGGAAGTAGCTCTCTAGTCATTTATCTCCATAGCCCTTGGCTCTGCCCTCTGGGATGCTCTGCCTTTTCCATTATCCTCTTTGGCCATGTCTGAATAAAACATTGCAGAATATGCCCTGCTTTGCAGTTAAGTGGCTTTCTTGGCCTGCTCCCTGTCTATGAAAAGCTAGGAGTCCAAGGGAGGTTTTATTTCTTGAACTATTACCATCTCTATTAATGCAGGTTACTAGCATTTTTGGCAAAACATTCTTTTAGAAATGTTCCTGTTTTACTACCTATTTTATTCCAATTGGCTTCAGGTGCCAGTAGGCATGCCTACAGTTCTTTTAGAGATTTGTCCCTCTCTCTCTAAATAAACCTTAGATACCTTAGCTTATCAGACTTCTGTGGGACTTAACAATTCAACTGACATGTAGAGTTCCCATAGGGCAGAAACAGATAAAATCTGTCTTAATGCCACTTCCCTAGGTCCCCAAAGTCCCTAACACAGTTCGTGATGCAGCCCATGCAAGGAAAGTGCTGAGTCAGAGAAGCCTGAGGTCTACCCATGTCCTTTCTATAGACATGTGGTTCATATCACTAGTTAAGAAAAACTTCTACTGAAGGGAATTCTGGACTCTCTTTATTCTTCAATAAGTCTCAGCACCACCAGGCCATGTCTACGTTCAGGGACAAGCAGAGACAATCACCAGGCACCTTGAACGGTATGTCTGCTTTTCTTTGCAGGGAAGCTAAAAGCCCATTTTTCCAGATATGATTTGACATCCAGGGTCCCCTGCAATACATAATTAAGTGTTCATTGTACAGAAGGAACAGTCATCTCAAGGGAAATTAAGATCTATATGAGTTTATCTTAAGTCATAAGCCAGGTCTTAAAAGATAACTGAGATTTTCAAAGAGAAAAATTTTGATTAGGAAATTACTGATAAAAGGCAACTGAGAGACATTGCCAATGAATCACTCAGCCCTTACGTCTGTTCTGTGGGGGAGGACATTGTACCTGTTGTAAATGCTTTGGGGCCCAGCCAGTTCACCCACCTCTTCCTCTGAATACATAGAGGTTATTCTCGAAGACAACAAAGGTACAAGTTGAGAAGAAATAAAAATATCCTTTTGAAAATGAACTATGTGCACTGTCCTTAGAGTTAACCCGATACATTTGGCAAATGAACTTCTGAAGCCCTTCTAAAAGAAAGGCCGGAGTCATTTCTGATGTCACTGGAGTCTCCTTGCTTTTCAACTAGCTCTCCAGTCTTGATCTCCAGATGGTCTCTGTGCTGTCTGGCGTGCCAGCTAGTCCATGCCTTTTCTGTGTATTCTCCTTAAGCAGATATTCTGCTTCAACTACTGAGAGCTCAGAAATGGCATTGCCATCATCCTTGCCGTTTTCATTTCTGTCCAACATTGCTATTGAAACAAAACAAAACAAAACTGCTATGCTGGCACTGCAGGAATTGTGACTTAAATTCCCATATCCTCTGAGCTACTGCAATGATAGATAGCAAAGAGTCTGCCACATGAGGTGAGATAATGTATTCTGGGTGGGGGTGGCCTGGAAGACCCTCCCCATTACTAAAATCCCCTTTCTCTTATGGAGTGATCGTGGTCCAGCAGAAAGACTTGTTTGAAAGCAAAGGAAAAAAAAAAGCTAGATTTAGGTTCTGGTTTATCTCTATTAATAGTATGACCATAAGGATGTTATTAACCTCTCCAGTATGCTAGTTCATTATTCTAAAAATGGAGAAGATAAGGTCTATCTCAAAGCTCACATACTGAATAGGTAATATGTCTGAGTACTGAGTGTCTGGCTTAAAGAAGGAAACAATAATTCCTCCCTATCCTCTCACTAAGCCTGTCCTCACAGTGAAGAATCCCATCTTCCCCTATATCATTGAGTGGGCTAACCAACAGGGGTCTCTACAAGTTTAATTCTTCTTGGCTAGAGGGACTTCAAAAACTGTGGGAAGATGGAATTAAAGTATGAGTTTGCTCTGGTGCAAACAATTTTGAAATCCGTGCATAGCGTTTTCATAATACACATTTTCCACGAACCCTCGTATAAGAGAGATTCACCTGTCATCCTGTGAGTTGAAATGACAACATGAAAATTTAAAAGAAAACAGACAGCTTTATTCTAAGTTCAATAGTACCTTGCCTCCTGGTTTGACCAGTCTATCCCCACCTAGACCCCACCAAATCCATGATCGTAGTAAGTCATCTTAGCCTGAGAAAGAGACAGACATGGGTCCCTCCATCAGCACAGAGTTATCTTCCTGCCCGTGTGTCTATGACACGTCCTCACTGCATATTTACCTAACCCTTAGGAAGAGACCAGAATCTCCTCCCAGTTACTCATTTGTCATCTCCCTAAATTAACATGCACAGGGCATATTAACACTGCCCTGCTCTTCATTCATCAAATCCAGTACAACTGTGGTCTTGGTCTTCCAGGAACACTTCGCAGCATTAACTTCTGTTATGCTTAAAGAGCCTTCCTTCACAATGTTAAATATGAAAATAAACTTGCTGTTTTTTAATTGGCTAGGGCAGGTACCTAGAGTACTACCATGTAGGCTGTGAGGACGGCGGGAGAAGAGATGATGGGGTTAGGGAAGAGAAGCAGGTCATTCATGGCTTACTTTGCCTCTCCTTTCACTTTATCTTTCAAATTCATGCTATTTTAGGACATATTTTTCCAAAGCTTGAATTTCTGGGGATGTTTACAAGCTACCACAGTTCCTTGACAATGAAAAGGCCAGTGTCCTCCTGAGCTAAGAAGCCCAATTCGGAAGAGGAGACATTTTTAGAAACATAAACTCCACATACAACAACCTCCCCTAATAAAACGAGGATGTACATTTTTCAGTAGTGATTTTGACAATGTTATTTATTTGTCTACAGTTATTGAAAAGGAAGCATATGGTGCACAAAACATCTTTCAGGTCCGTGGACGTGGGTTTAAGAAGCTGTTTAGGAAAAACATCTCCATTCTATACTTAAATGTCTACCAGACAGCTGCCACCACTGCATGATGTGCAATTCTCGGTGGCATTTGGTAGACTGACAACCAAAGAAATTGGTACTGGATGTACAACTGATGTCATAGGAATAATTATAATACCAAACAGTTGCTGAAATCTATTTTTAATATAAATCACAATAATAGGCATGTAAAAGTGAAAGGCTTTATAAACCTATTACAGAGAGAGAAAAATGAAAACCTCAAGTTTAAAGAGTCAAAATCGGCTAGGAAGGTTTGCCATTAATGCTGCTCAGCTGGGTGGTCGTTAATAGCAACTCTCCAAGTCCTATCACCTATCACCAGTCTTCATTTTCCATAACTTCTCTTTCCCCTTCTTTTTTTTTTTTTTTTTGATTTTCACTGTAGGGCGCGTGCGCTCGCCAGACAGACAGAGAGAGACAGAGAGACAGAAAGTGAGAAATCACCCCCCAGGGGGGATGGTCACGCCGCAATCCCTTCTCCTCCATTCTCTTCTCGGGATCTTGGGCACGCACGCACACGCGCCCGGCGTGAGTTTTAAGCCACCGGGTCCGGGACACGAACCGCGGTCGACTACGTGGGAGTCCAGCGACATAGCCATTACGCTAACTGCTGGTTCCCCCCTTCTTTTTTCTTATAATTCACCGACTCCTCTTCTTCTCCTGGTTCTCCTGTTTCTCTGAGTACTTTCTTGCCTTTTTCCTATTTCGTGCCCTTGAACAAATTGAAATAGATGGTTTAAAAAAAGGGGTTGGGTTTGAAGTCCAGTCTGATTACTCTTTGAGTAATCT